CAACTTGCGCTACACTCCGAGTCCTATGCTAGTTAGTTTCGATGTTATTGCGAGAACAAGCGCCCGAAATTGCTGCTGTTCGCACTGCACCTAAATACGGATTCCATTCCCTATAAATGTCGGAGTTGGGCTCTATTACATTTGCTGATGTGCCTTTTCAGATACAAAGCGTGGTACTGTGCTTACGAGACTCATTGCGAAGCATATTATTGTGGTTGCTTGGTCACTCATCGTCAGCACATTTTGCTAAGGCTGTGGAAATTCTCTGCTTACATTTTGGGCCCTTCATCGGACGATGCATACGGTTCCTGTTTCCGTTTTCCGCCATCACGAGACTGTTTGGCACATCAATCAGTCCTCAAATCTACGTGAGTTCATGAGAAGTCCATAAACATTTAGATTTTCAATGATTTTTGTTATGATCTTACAGTGTAATGATTTCAGGAATCTTTTACCGAGCTTGACATGCGCGCTCTGATTGCCTCATGCGATGGAGGGGAACGAATTGATGAAATTCTTCAAAGCCTGTCATCTCGAGAAAGGTTTCTGGCTCAGGAAGAACTTTTCATTTCTCAGCAAGATCAAGGGGTTGTTACACGTGGGAATGCTTCCACCGCAGCAGATCAACCAGACGGACAGGAGGTCAAGGCTGCGGATTTCTCGGACACCTCTATGTGCTCACCTTCACAGCAGGATTCGAGCATCATTCATTTCGATATAGGCGATGATCAAGATGAGCCTAAGATGGAAAATACGGATCCCGTCTCTGTAAACGATTCAGGTGATTTGAAAACTGCAGCTGGCAATTCTCAGCAAGATTTAGACACAGCAGACACTCAGCTGACCATAACTACCGATGATGATCTACCGGCACTCGTGGAGACAGCCCCTAGCCCCTTGTATAGTGAAACGGAGCTTGTTCCCACTCAAGAGACAGACCAGCAAAGTGACAAACAAAATACCGAAAGAAGTGTGCACGCTAAAAAGGACTGAATTAACTATTGTAACTGAAACGCTGAGATTGTTCTAATTTATTTGTTAGATCGGGTATATATGTGTGGTTTCAGATTATTCTTTTCTAAATAATGATTGTTAACAGCTACTGGTTTACGGTATGTGATACATATGAAAATATCAGAATTATTTAATTACTGCTTAACTCATTGTTCAATAAATTGATTGTATTTATGAAGAGGAGTTTGTCAGTCGCCAGGCACTGGAAGAGAATACTTCGGTTCGGCCAGGCGGCACATGTTGAGGCCATCACAACATGTGTCGTGTGGCCTACAGTTGTGGCATGCCCTTTCCGTGGTACGGTAGTCCAACCACGAAAGTCTTTCAGGACATCGAGAGCTTTTTCAAAATGGTTTTTTGTATACTATAGAGACACGCGCAGGCGAGCTCAAGGGAGCTCAAAACTGAGATAGGTTTTTTCTGAGCAGCTCTTGGAATGCAACCAAAAAACATGTCGGCCAGGGCTTGCTGGTTCGATGATCTCCTCCAACGACCCTATTTTCTAAACATTCTCTGCTTTCCACTTCCTTGGGCTCATATACAGCTGCGGTCAAAAGTGATTGCCGAAACGTTTTTTCGTGCATTATTTTTTCTCTGCCAAACAGTGCCATTCATTTACTAATAAGGCATGCCTTTTAAAGCCTTGAAAGTCAGGCTCTTCGACGAGTTCAGACCTTTGCAAGTGTTCGCTGACAATGATTCGTCTTCCTTTCATTTTTCCTCTTACAAGAGAAAGATTAAAGATTGCTTTGAAGCCTTCATTGACGAACTCGTCATGTGCTGACTTCATTTAAGTGAATAGCAAACGAATCCAACATGCTCCAGATCATCTTAGAAATGCCTACTGTTTCCGTAGTTTCTACTGCGAAGGCCTCGACCAAAATTTGGTGATCTAAAAATACGCTAAGATTCATACAAAGTCGAATTTTGACACCGCTGTAGGGTTTTTATTGAAAATTGAAACTTTTCACGTCTCAAACAAAATTTTTGTCCTTTTCGCAGTCTCACGGCCGTTCAGAAAAAATGACCATCATTTTAATGCTCCACACACGTGCCCATATAAAATGCAACAATCCGTTTTGAAAAAGCGCTTCCCTGAAAGACTGGGATTGGAGGGAGCAAAAAATACTCTTAAATGGACTTTTGAAATTGAACTTACACCACTGTCGACAGTGCGCAGTACGTGTACCTACCATAGTCTTACTATTTTCAAAGTCACATGAACCCTCCAGTAATTTCTCATTACTGATTATGGATACACTGGAGCCAACACAATGTATAGAATGGACAGTTTTCGAAACCATGAAAAAGTGCCAAAATCAATGCAAAAACGTGGCTCGTGCATGTGGGAACTGCTGTAACACGGGAACACCTGTCAGGTGTGTTATTCTTACTTTGTTAAGCTCGGCCTGAATGCCTTCAATTGAAAATTGAAGGGCGCATTCGAATCTTTCTAGTAAGTCCATGATGCCTTCTAACGGGTGAAAATAAAAGAATCTGCCACGGAGTATGGTGGAGGGTATGAGCTCCTCGAGGTCCTTAAAATGGGTCCTGGATCATTCATGACCTTACGTGAAATGGTGGTCGACAGGTTTCTTGCATAGTCACAGCGTCTGTCGCTCTCCACCAATGAATAAGTAGAAGGAATTATGTACGTAGCTGCTCCAGGATGGGACAGTTGCGTAGGCCTTTCTGTGCTTTGGTTCTATTCAAAAAATATCTGATTTCTAGCCTTACATCCTTATTAGGAATTGCAGGGTATAATTAACAGGAAAGCTGAAGTAAAGGTTGGTGGACCCAAGTCTACGTAAGAAGTATTCATAACGATCTTACACGATGTCCACGTGGTGTTCTGAATATTTTGGGGCAGTGCGCTATCATCTCCACTGTGTACAAGTGAGTCAGCGGTGAATGAGATATTTTTCATTCATCAGATTGATAACAGCTTCGCTCAAACGTCGTCCGTCATACACTAAACATATGTAGTACTGTGCGTTGATATTTCATTCCATCTAGGTATAAGTTATTTTCTCAAAATGTTTGTGTTTTTGTGCTTCACAAGTGAAACAATCTATAGAGCGGCTCAACTATTCGATGAGCTATTTTCAAAGATTTGGAAGTGCTTCAAGCTTTGAACATTTTACTACCAGACCAGACAGGTCCTATTGTCCCTTGGTATAAGTACCAACGGGGGATTGTATCTGCAATTTTGGGAGAGGGAGGACCAAATTTAGGTAAAGGTGAAAAAATCGAAAAGGGGGAAGGTCATATTTTATGGAGTTGAAGGGTTAGTGGGGGAGAGGGGTCGCGTCTAGAAGTTTTTTGACCATTTTGGTGGAACTCAACGAAAAGGCGTTGACCAGACAAAATTGAGGATCTTTTTGGACACCGCTCCTCTCCCCGCTCGTCAGCCAGTTTAGGAGGAAAAATTGGGATTTGTTGCTTGTGTCATTGGTCTACAAATCGAATCCTATAGAAACAGTCATGATGAAAAGGGTAATCGTTCATGTGGTAGGAAAGAACATACTGAGAAGTACCCTCACCAGGCTTGACTGTGTGTGGAACTTCGGTATCTACATCGGTAGGCACACACTCCAATAATCCCTTAACATTAGAATTGACTGTGTGGCCGGACCAAGTACGCCTAAAACAGTACACTAAGGTCGACTTCATGTATGAGTAAGCCTCAGACCGCCGTAAATTTGGCTGCGAAAGCACCTGATAGGATGTTTTGCCTCGTTGACTTTGGAGTCTCCTTGTCAATCCTCTCACTTTTCCCACGTAACCATCCGCATCATCCGATTTTTTCAACCAAAGAGGCTAATACATGAGTGCATAGAGTATTGTTGTAGTTATGGTGGCAAATTTCTTCAATTGGAGACTCTTCGGTTTGTCTTTAACTGGTATGTACTACGTCTGAGTGCGCACAACTTAGCGGCAGCTTTTGATCAGCTCGTCACTGTTTGCATACGAAATGTTTGTCGAGTTCCACGTCTCCAATTACCGTCTCCCCTATCACTGTCCTTGCTTGGCTATAAATAGTAATACACAGCATTCTTGTGTGCAGAACAACCTCGCACAATAGCATTATCAGCAGTATACCTTCAACAATGACTGTGAGTGAACCTGTAATGAGGAGAATACGTGAATTCATTTATTGTACTGATAGGCTTAGGACGTAGGACAACATCCATTTTATAAGTACCTATTTTAGAATGTGCACAGCATAATTGAATAGCGGTAATAGTCTTCTTGTTTTATTTGTTTAACTTGCTTGTTTTTTGGGCCGGCAGTTCGCCTTGCGAATGTTCACATTCAAGAATTGCTGGATTGTGAAGAAAAAGACAATTCGCCCGGCTCTTGCTCCTTACGACCGGCAAGTGCGCTATCAAGTTAACGCTATCTGCGGCAGCCGTTTCATCCAAACTCAGGTTCAGGTCTCCATAGGTGTCACTTACACACCCCAGCTTGCAGCAACTCACACTGTGTTACGTGGTGGGCGCTAGCCGTTCACAACCTAGCTTCTTGTGAAACATTCGCAAGGCGAACTGCTGCCAAAAACAGCAGTTAACAAACAAAAACAAGACAAATTTTATTGCTAAAGCTTTCAGCCTCGCCGTCATTGCCGATATCGGCTAACCGGCTCAACATGTTATATGCGTGAGTGCTGACAAGACTGTGGTAAGTATACCATGAAGAAGCTGAGTTGGGATAAACGGTGCCCCGGTAGCGTAACTGGTAGCCGGTGAGCAAAAGGTGCGAAGGTCAATCCCATCTGGGCGAAGGTTTTGTTTCACAACCCAGCATTCTTGTTGATATTTCTGTTGCTCCTTTCGAAAAAGATGACGTTAACCCCAATATGGGCTCACGTATGTACCTGGTTAAGTCGTTCAACCGTGTTCGTGGAAAAGTTATGAGATGAAGAAAATACATGAGAAATTCGTAAAATTTTATGAAAAATAAGGATTCATAAAACCATTAAAGCTAAATCCATCGCTCGGCAATCCTTGATAGTCCTCCAGATTTAATGGATAAAGCTCCATTAACGAAAAATTAAAATGTAAAAAAGATCAGCATTGAATCGTACCGGCTAAAACTAGCGAATATGAGATACCTAACAAATATCGCAATCCTCAATTAATGTTGAGAAGTCGACGAAATTCCTTGTGTGTTTTTAAGTACATGATACCACTGTTTTTCAGGAGCATCGATTTGGGATATGACTGCATCCCAAAAGACTCCCCCTGCAGGCATGTCTTTAGCCAATGGGCATCTGAGCCCAATTTTCTTGTGTGTTCCCATATAAACTGTGCTAGTGTGCTGTGCTGTTCAAACATTGGCCTGCATGGGGCAGAGGTCTACATGTGTGAAGACAGACATGAGCTTATCAAACTCCATCTATGGTGGGTTGGTCGTGCATTTGAAAAGGCGGCGCCAGCAATATTCGTTCGTCTGTTCCAGAACATTAACACATTGACGACAGCGCGGCAACATTGTGTGCCACTCTTTTGCAGGTCACATGGTTTGTGATGGGACACCTGCCGAGAACAATGAAATCGCCGCGCCCATCACAATCATATGTTGCACAAGCGCTTATCCCCAGGATTTTCGCTCATTATATTTAGCCCATAATTTGACATAGCTACACTGTGTCTCCTAATGATCACATCCACCTATAAATTGTTCAAAATCTTCATTCCATAAAGGGTTCTAGAAACTGTTCAAGAGAAAAATGTGTCAAATTTGATTGCAAATTCGAAAATCAACACAAAAGTTCAGGTTGGGAAAATGCAAAAAATTTCTTTACTAATTTTCAATGACATAGTCCCCTCGTGGCAGGGGGAAGGGCTGTCAAGGGCGGAAGTGGTGTAGTGACAAGTGGCGCGCTACCACGCGAGCGGTCCGGGGATCAAATCCTGGGTCGTGAGTCGCCCGGGCCAACCAAGCCTTCCATCCCTCCGGGGTCGGTTAATTGGTAC